GCGCTCCCTTTTTTTTTTCATTCCTGCTATTGGATCTAAGCCCAACACTGAATCCAGCTGCCACAGCTGCTGCTGTTCTGCTGCCTGCCCTGCTTTCTGCTTATGCTTATGTTCCCAAAAAAGCTGCTCTGGGATGTTCTGTGAAATGAATGGGACATCAAGGCGGTGCTAACTGCATTCCCCTTCACTGACAAGCTCTTTTGTTTTGTTGGATGCCCTGAATTTGTGTAAAGTGCTAGTGTTATATGTTCTGAACCTCACTCTTTACAGGGTGAGTTCCTTTTGTCACCTCACTGTTTACAGTACTAAAGTATTTCCTTTGCTGCAATAAGCTATTATGTAGTCTACAAACAAGCTTCTGATCCTGCCAAATTACATTCACTTTAAGTAAGTGAGGAAACTGTGTATCTCTTTTTCCACTTACTCTGATATTCATTTTCAAAGGGTTTCACATCACTTGCCTCTTATAAGCACCTGTACATACATTTTTCTGGCATTGTTCCATGCACATACGATCAGTTAAGTCACACTATAGGTAGTAGTTGATAGTAAAGTAGTAGGGTGTATGCAAGTTCTATGTATGATCAGACATTCTGAAAATACAGACTCACAGTTCCAGTGCTACAAGGACTTGTAATTGTCTCCTTACCTAATCTGCTTAGGATAGCAAATAAGTATTGTAATAACTTTACAGTTGAAGCAGACTGCTGTATATCTGCATCCTGTATCTCACAGTGGTTATAAGTACTTCCCATAGAATGGAAACAGCAGTAAATAGAAATGTTCTGGGGTTTTCAAATGTTCTTATCAACTGCACTGAACTTTCATTTCATCTGTTACATTTAGATCAATATAAATTTATGAGACTTGAAAACAAATATTATAGTGCCAAAATCAAAATCTGAAAGGTCTTTGTAAGATCTTTGCCTACATAAAAAATCTCTTCTGGTTTAATCAAAAGTATGATTTTAAACTGATGTGAACTGTACAGAGCCCTTTGTGAAGATTCTCAGTTCAATTTATAGCAGGATGATTTCTTCTTTAGGTTCAGTTGCTTAAGATTTTTTTTTAAATGACACAGAAATAAGCTAGTTTTTAAATTGTGTAAGACTGTCCAAATTGTTGAGGTGTAATGGTCTAATTTGAAGATTGATTGATTGGACATACTGGTGCATCTTATAAATCCTGTTTGTTAAGATACTTTTAATCATGCCTGCCTGTAGAAAAAGTCTTGGAAGACATGAGAAAAACCATTGTGGAGTTTTGATAATAGCTTTTTCTGAAAAGGATTGAAAAGTCTGTAGAGGAAAATGGTGGCTTCAAGTAGCATGGGTTCATAAAGAAGGAATCCTTGTAGTATCTCAGACAGACTGCAGAGGAACAGTCTCACGGCTCCGTGTTTTCCTTTATTCATTTAAATGCCATGGACATTTAGAACCAAAGTTTAGTCAATTCCTTTAATTAATTCTTATTCCCATATCTTTTGATTCAACATCTTTAGAGGCTCCAGTCAGGCTTTAGTGATGCAGCTGGTCTTGATGGAAGTAGGAAATAAGCAGTGTAGCTCACTGGAGATACCTAGTATTAAAAAAAAACACAGGAAGCAAGAGATTGTCTCTCTGCAGATCTCAAAACATTTGCCAAAAAATAAAAATAAATAGTGGGAACATCTAAATATTTAGATATGAGGTATTTAAAATATAAGACCCTTTATATAAGATGCCCTAACCATTTATTTTTTATCTTAAAGTAATAGCCAACATTTGTGCTAGCCATGTGCAGCCACAGCAAAGAATGAGTGGTAAGGGCCGTACAGACTGAGATATGACTTCGTCACCAACAGCCATATTTTTACCTAATTTGTGTCAGAAGAAACTATGCAAAAATTAGTTTTTTCTCTTTCTACAAGCAGAAAGATTAATGTGTGATGTCAGCTTGTATATTGGTCTTTAAGATATTAAGAGTCACAGTAATACTTATGCCTTCTAGTACTTGGTTCCATGCAAAGACATAAAGCAAGAGAAAAGGAGAATTGTCTTTAAGGATGTTTTTTAGACTTCTTCTCCAAAGCACGTAGGCTGATCGTTATATAAAAGAGAAACTTCAATGACGTAGTCGACCCCAGACGTTTTACCAGCATACATCCTGGAAGGGCTACCATATTTTAATGTTTTCTAATGAATAACTCAGCTGGTCCAGATGAAGACCATATGATGACTCCATTTAACAAATTCCAGTTTAATTTATTTCTTTCAAGGCTGCATTAATCGTGTTTGAAGTTTGTCCCTGCTGAGCTCCTCAGAAGTAGGTAATGCTTACTAGCTTTAAAGGGCTAAAATTCAGCTTAATGGAACGTGACAGCCCCATTGCACTGAATTCTGGGTTGCTTAATTCCTGATTTTAATAAACTTTCAAGTCTCTGCAGAAACCTTTGTGAAGCAAAAGTTTACCAGTATGGACCAACTTTGAGGAAAGCACACATGTAACTAAAGGGTGAAAGCCAAAGTCTGCATGAACTCTGGATTCAAATAGTGAAACAATTCAATATTATGGAAATCTGATGTTTCAGAATGCAACATCTGAATTTGTGTGCATGCTTTTTTGAATTTGAATGCTTTCTTCAAATGAAGCTTTAAAGCATGGCTAAAATTCAAAACTCAGGCTCAAGAAAAGTGACTTTTTGGAATTCATGTAGCATTCGTCTGTTCAGTAAAATGAATATAACTAATTCTTCCTTTGTCTTTTCTGTGATTTAGTGTAGCAGTTCAAATACCAGCTAATGATTTTACTTAATGTTATGATTTAGCTTATTCTGTGGTGATCACAATCATCTTTGCAATGTAGAAAAAAAACCACCGATTTTCTTTGATGACCCTGATGTCGTTCAACTATTAGAAATTCCACTGATGGCCGTATCAGTGACTTCTCTACCTGGTGCTGTAGCTTGGTGTTTGGGGGTCTTTGGGTGGGTTACTATTTCTCCACAAGAGGCCAGCATTACTGCCCCATCTACACTTTTCCTTTTCCTTAAGCATCTCCTTCGAATCACAGAGAAGTGGAGGGGTATCTCCATGGTGTGACCTCATGACACTGTACAGTGGGATTAGAGCAATAGCTCTGATGGAAAATAAAATGGCTCACAGTAATGTTAGCCATTACCTAAGAACACACCATGGGGATATTCCATTTTCTGTAAACCCTACTCATTCCTGGTGGTGTGGGGATGTCAGGGTGCTGCTGGAAATCTCCACTAATCTGCTGATGCTAGAGATGTCCAGAAAACATTTGAGTGGGCAGGTGAGGAGTAGCAAACAATAACATTTTATGAATTAAAAAAGTATGTTTCTCCTCGCTATGGAATTAAGCTTAGGTTTAGCAATGGCTAGAGGTCCCCAGGGCTGGCACCTGTGGAAACAAGGACTGAGCCAATGAATATTTTTTGAAGGGCAGTTATATCTTTCCTGTCAGTAACACTGCTCCATATCTCTTCTATTATTATTCTAGGTGTCCCACCCCTGGGTGTGATGGCTCTGGGCATATTACTGGAAATTATGCTTCACATCGAAGGTATGTAAAGAGAAGGTTTTGTTCTTTAAACCAAACAACTGAAGGGCTAGAAGGGACCTCGACAGACCTCTCTTCTCTCTCTCAATACTGAAGTAGGATCGAGTGCTGTACATAGACATGAGCTGGTCTAACTCATTCTATTTATCACCAATGAATAACATTTCTCAGTTTCAGCATGGCTCACTACCCAAATAGGTAGGAAGATTTTTGCTAATATCTAGCAAAATCTTTGTAGAAAATGCATCCAGTTTTTCTACCTTCTCTGTTAGCCCAGGGAAGCAATTCAACATTTGTAAGTTTCTGCTGCTTTATATTCTGAATGACTTAACTCTTCTCCTCACAATCTTACCTTTCCCGGACTCAAATTCTATTTCTGCATTTTTTTCCTCACAATTTCCTGATGGTTCCTGTCAATCTCTTCCAGACTCCCTCCGTATTTCTCGAAATGCAAAATTGGACCCAGTTCTTTACCTCCCCTCCCAGCTGAAGCCTTACCAGCTTTAATCAGAGGGAAAAAGTACCTCTTTCATCTAATATGCACCAGTCTTGTTAGTACATTTCAGAGTAAAGCTTGGCTTGTTTTTAAATCGCAACACATTGTACACAACTATGTCAAGCCAGAAGAATGGAAAGAGAAATTTATGGATGAAAGCTGTTACCTTAACTGCCTAAACTATAACTATGATCCTTACCAGGGGCCAAAGAAAGCTTCACGTTTACTAATTAGGGTATTGTTGGTAACCCCAAAATTAATTACAGTGGTACCAGTGTAGAAGTAGTGTTACGAATGCTGTGTAATTAGCAATTCCCCTGTTGCTATTTGAGAACTATAAATCAGTAGAGAAGAGCTGCACCGTATTTTGTAAATAGCTATCCACTGTTTAATCAAAGAATACTAGCGTAGCCCACCTTTCTTTTGTTAGTAAAGGCTCTTTACTCCCATGCATAGTAATACTGTTGAGTCTGGATATTTGCTTGCTTCACAAAGTCCCTGTAGTTTTACAATTGGCTATAACTAGTCAATACACAAATTCCCAGTTTAAATGTATTCCCAGTAAAAGCAACAAACAATTTAAAGTCAAAACATAAATAACATAGAGATTGGGAATGTGCCGTACCTTTACATGCTGTAAAAATGAAAGATCACTATAACAATTTCTGTAATGCACAGTTAAACATTAAATGTACAAATAACATTATAAAGGAGAAGATATAAACACTTTAAAAGCACTTACATGATGTAGGAGATTAAATCACACTTTCAAAGGGATTTAAGGTCAAATTTAGAACTACATTTAACTATATGTGGATTTATCAGCTCACACCTCTACCAGCACTGTGCTTGGTGTAGCTATGACCCAACTTTGCTATTTCAGGAAACTGTTTATGTATTTGGTCATCTGTTTAACCAGAAACAGGCAGGACAAGGAAGATGCAGAAGGCAAAGTGTCACAAACAAGAAACCTAAAAGTTGGCAGGGTTAGCAGGGGAGAATCACTGCATGTTGCCTCATTTTCTAAACCCTTTCCCTGCGCGTTGTCTCCTGGCCACTGTAGGGCCGGACCATGAGCTGGATGGTGTTACCTGCTTTCGTCTGTAAATTCTTACATTCTTGTGTTTTTGCAGATGAGTGCTGCACCAATTTTTCATTTGATTCTGTAGCATACTCAGTATAGATAAAGATATAAAAAGTAATTCTGCAAAACTAAGTGATCTGGAATTTGTCCAGTCTATTGGGATTTAATGCATTTAACCTTTTGAAATGCCACAGTGTCTATATTGACTACATAACTCCTTCGTTTCTCTTCCAAAAGACCTCCGGCAGCTCCGGATCCATGGCTGCCTACGGGCACGGGGACACTGACACCGAAGGAGTAATGTCATCTTTGCTTAAAACCACTGATGTCCCCAGGAGACCTGTCAGATTTACATGGAGCCAGACCCACACTGTTCAGATCACGATAGCTGCCGAGACCATTGCTGAAGTGGTGAGGCTGGCAAAATGCACGCTCTTTAAAAGGGCAGCAAACCAGTAGCTTAAATCTAGAGCTGTTAAGTGTGAAAGACCCCACAGCACATTCACAGTTAAGCTTTCTGATTCCCACACTGAAAATCAGCATTTACCTCTGCTTGCATCTGAGTTAGCACTTTTGTTTGTATTTGATACCATCACTTACAACCCTTCCAGTTTCAGAAGGAAAAGAATGACAAACTTCTCTCCTAAATGGCTGCCAAGATGCTTAGACATCATCTGTATTTAAAATGGCTGCTCCACAGCAAGCACACATGAAGGCAGATTTAACTCTGCCATAAATCTCTGCAGTTCCACACACCCATGCAAGAAGTTATATCAGCATATACCGGTGTTGAATTTCTCTTGTTATCTTTTATCTTCATACATAAGGAATTAAACTGATATAAAAATGAACTAATATGTTTACTTTGTAATAGCTTTTGGTTATTATAGGATAAAAAAAAATAAAGCAAAGGCTCATCTTTGACATATGTTTTCTTGGTGAATCTGCTGTCAGAAGAAAAATGAATTAATCATAACCTCAGAAGCTGCCTGTTGGAAATGTCTGTTTAGAGGACCTGAAAGGTCTTAGAATTTTCTAATAAATCATAGTGCCAGAATAGAGAGATCTATTGCAAAAAGATGATGCACCAAAATACCAATAAGTTGGTGATAATTAAATTGATTTAATAAGTAGAAAGCATTAAATCATTAGTCAAGGCAAAAATTCTTCATTCAGATTTTGTTGTGAAAATGTCATCATCTACAAGCATACCCATCTGTACATCTACTAAAAAAAGTATTGCTTTCTGAGGCATTTCTATTAACTATTTAGTTTTCAAATGCAAAACCTAATTATTCTCACACAGTGGGTACGACTAGTCTCACAGATAAGCTAGGGATATCTGTAACTCCTGTCATCTCCCCTTCACTTTCTGCAGTCCAGGTTGTATGGGGAGCAATGAAGCAACCTGTTCCCAAAATGTCCCCTTGTCCCAGAGCCTGCTTCCTCTTATTCTAAATCCCTTAGACTGTGTTCCTCCTGCCTCTGTCTTCTCAGAGATTATGATATGATTATTTTTGAAGCAAACTATTTTTAAGTGGCACAGGCTTTCTGAGGTTTAGTTAGTACACAGGGAACTATGGTACTTTGGTGTGCACTATGCAAATTGGAATAAACAGCAGCTTACTTTAAAAAGGAAAATGGTCAGCTGCATTTAAACTAGAAAATGAAATGGGATGAGAGCACAGGTCCAAGCATCAGAGTGCAGATGCCTACACTATTAAATTGTTAGCCCGTCCCCTGGCATGGTACTGATCCTGGGCCACTGAAACTCTCCCAGGCAATTCTCAGATATGATTTGGGGCTCAGCATGGTTCCAGATCATTCTCTATAAGCGATACGAGTGTAGCTGATATACTTTACAGAGACAGAGTTTAGCTGTACAGATGTGAGCTTGCTGGTCTTGGGTCAAAACAGCAGTTCTAGGTCCCTTCCATTTACCAGCAGAGCCATGCCATATCACTAAAAGTTGCTAGGTAATACACTATGTCCAATATCTTGTGCTAACGTTCCTCCCTTTCTTTAATTGACTTATTTATGACTTTGCAGCGTATAAACTCTATTTTTTTCTATTTTTCATTTACCAACACAGAATTCTGTCTGTGATTGCATCACCCTTTTCTCTGCTTGTTCCTCCCAGTCCTTGCTGGTCGTGACAAGACAAAATAACTGAAAATTTTGCTACTACCGTTTCTGTCTCTTCTTCCTGAAGACAGGACCTACTATACAACACTGAAGTACCTTTTGTCATGCTGAAAAGAAAAATTTAATCTTCTATTTTGTTTCTTTCTCTATGGAAACTTTTCTTTGGCGACAGTCCTTTGTCTCTCATCTCAATACTTTGGAAGGTGGTGTTCTGCTGATGGATTTCTTTTTTAATGTTGATATGTTAAGGTGGAAATAACATTTAAACAGAGGACAAAGCATGATTTTTTGATAGACATATTTGTGTCCTCGGATAGCAACTACTTAAAAAAATCTTTAAATATATATTAAAGTCATTGTCAAGTCTACTAAATGGTTCCTATAATGAATTCATCATATGCAAAGGGAAAGCTGAGCTTATAAAATCTTGGACTTGATATATCTTTTTCCATCTTGTGTAGTTAAAACCAACATTCTCAGTGTCTAGTTAAATGTAACCTTGTGTAGCCTAACATATAACTTTGTCTCTACCAAATCTTTTTGTCTGGGTGAGTTCTAAGCACTTAAACTCTTTCTCAGGAAGGCACAGTCCAGCTCTGAGCTCTGCCATGTTTTTATTCAACCGTTCTATAGGATTCTTACATGACGTTTGAGAAGGTTTTGATAGTGTTTCTAATGTGCTCCCTGGAGAAATCTTTAGTCCTACCAAGAGATCCAAACACTCCTGGTTTTTGAGCCTGTTCTTCCATCCCTCTCAGACACACAGAGGACGTAATGTCTCTCAGCCCTGAAACACTGCCTTCTATTGCTTTTAAAGCTGTCGCTGCTGCTGCTGAGTCAGCTGGAGGGATTATTAGGCAGAGAGTTGAAGAGCTGCTTTCCCTGGCTCCTTGGGGACTGCCTGTGCGTGTGGGCTGCACAGGGCCTGCAGCCCTGGCTGCATCACCAACCGAGATACGCGGATTCCCCCTCGTGGCTACATGCTGCAGCTCTTATTTAAACCGCCTCAGCTTTGATTTTGGAAACTGGACAGGATTACTTATTCTGCCAGTTTTTCACATAGAAAGCGTATCCCTTGTAAACTGTACCCAAGAATGAGAAATTGCATTTTTAAAATGTTTTCTTTCACTCAGTCTTTCAGGCTGTCCGCGAGCAAAGAAAAGTGGGATCAGGATAGCACAAAGCAAGGAAGACAAAGAAGACCAAGAGCCAATTAGGTGAGAACAAATATTGTCAAAGGGCCTTCGTGTGTTTTATAAGGTCATACATATCTTCAGCTTTTTATTAAGGCATAAATGTTACTGTGTGATAGTTATCCAAGAGCAGATGGCCACATTGATTTCTATGAGTGAACTGCAAATCAAGGATGTGTGCTGATTTATTCTAGCCAAGGATACAATCTTCTATAATTTAGAAAGAGTTTTAAATATGTTTTCCACATGAAATCAAAAAATTATTTAAATCTTTATTTCCTAAAAAACCCTTAAACATTGCATACTATAGACAAACCATACATGCTAAATAAAATAGTTATGGGAACAGAGAATTGAGTATTTATATGACATTGCTGCAATAAATCTGACTGTATGCAGTTTGCAAGAGGAAAAAATGCCTACCTATAGGTCTTGGTTTCTTTTTGCAAGGTGCTCTGATGCCAGTGGCCACTGAACTCAGCAGGTTTAGTGACTACTTAGACCATTCAGGACTGGATCCTCGGTGGAGAGTTTCAGCAATATTTTAGTGTAGGACAAACAGTGAAGTAACTGGCCTTGTTTTGACATGTGTTATGTAGCAGTGTACTGAAAAAAACATTATTTTCTTTAAACATTTCACTTTGAAGATTCTAACCTGTTCCTTCTAACCCTGGTTATTTGTTTTTTAGAAGTATACAGGGCAAATGTATGGGGGAATTCCCAAGTAAGGAAAACCATCAGATGAATACGGAACTGCCTTCATTGATCCCTCTAGACTGTAGCGCATAGTTTGTTATAATCTCTCCTATTCAGAGAGTGGTTAAAGGTGCTCAGCATTTCTGATGAGGCGCTATGATCACTTCATATCTAACAGTTTATACCAAACATTTCAGACAAGTCTTCTTTAGATTCCATACACATAAATAAAATGTACCAAGGATTATACTAAGTAGGATTTTATGCTTATAGAGTTTTTATGGGCAATTTCCCTGCTGAGTGGAGCTCAGTAGCCAACATTTCAATTCCAGTGTGATATTTACTGTAATGAACACCTGCAATTCAAATATATATCTCAGACCTTTTGTTGCAACTGCACAGTATCAACAACTGTGACTTCATCTACTGGCTAGCCTCCCTACAGTTTATCAAAGAACATAATTTTTTTTCCATATTAGCAAAATTCTGCTTGTAATTTTACCCACTAAAGGGTATCTTGACTATTTTTAAGACCACAGTGCATGATTGTTCTTTTCTTTTCATGTCGGGTTTATTTTGACTTTGTTGTAGAGGCTACCAGGTATATGATGGCAAGACAATAAAGTTTATCTCATCTATCTGCTATCCAGATGTCCAGTTCCTGGTTGTGATGGTCAGGGTCATATAACTGGAAAATATGCATCCCATCGCAGTGCGTCAGGGTGTCCTCTAGCTGCCAAAAGGCAAAAGGATGGGTACCTAAATGGCTCACAGTTCTCTTGGAAGTCTGTGAAGACGGAAGGAATGTCATGTCCAACCCCAGGATGTGATGGCTCAGGACATGTCAGTGGTAGTTTTCTTACTCATCGTAGGTGAGTAACTATGGCTTATATTTTTTGCTTATGGTTATTATTTAAATTCGATTGGCAAGATTTGAAATACAGCTTTTTGTCATGGCATTTCTGTTCGTTTTGAATTTCATTATTACTTTGAAAAATAATCTTCCTACATATATTTGCAGATAACTGGAAATCAAGACATACGATTTTTTTGATGCAAGTCCTTGTAGGTAGAGACCCAAATCTGAATCTATAATACACAGAAAATTTTAGGGAAAAAAGTGTGCATGACAATAACTGTAAATCTGCGACTGCTTAATTGAGTGACTCTGGACAAATTACCTTATGACAGACTTTATAATACACATCTGAATCCTCCTGATTTTCAGAGATGTCGAGCACATTCTTGATTCCCAAACATCAGAGCATGGAACTAAAGAATTTAAGGAACCAGTTCCATAAAAACAAAGTACTTTTATTCATTTGGCAATGAAAATGTTCGCTCATAACAATAAACGTAGAATACAGTGGATTAATTAAAACTAATGGAACACAAATATTTGACAGAAGAAACACAAAGAACAATTTTTCATAAACATAGCAAAAATAAGAGAACTTCAGTGATGACATTTTTCATAGCTTTTAAGGGATTAAGGAAGAGAAAGTGGCCAGTCTATTAGAGATAAATCTTGCTGCCATTTTAGATATTAGGTTATGAGGAAGCAAGGGTGTTCTTGGAGCTTTGGGTGGGAATATCAGCCTGAACATGACTATAATGCCAAAGCAAATTTCTTATTATATAATCACTAATATAAAACTCTATTGCTTCAAATATGTCAAGCCAATGCACCTAATTTGTCACTCCTCTCCAGGCAGACCTCACTTGAACTTCTGTACCTTTTAGTTAACTAAACCAACCTGATCTTGTTTTGTAGTCAGTTCTAGATATGGAGGTGAAAAGTGTACTTCTTCTTCCTTCTCTTGCCTGTAACTATTTCCTCTGATTCTTTCTCTGACAACCCTTTATAGCTTAACTCAAAAGCGTTACCCTTACTACAACCTCTCCAGACTTTGTGCACATAGTTCCTATTTATTGTCTAGGTTCAAAGCTGTTTTTCTACTCAGTGTTTGTGTGGTACCTACCATCAAGAGATTCTGGTCCATGACCTGAGGTGCTACGTAGGTGGTCAAACGTACTACACAGCCTGCAACTCCCACAGGCTTTAGGGAGCGGCAGATGCAAAAGCCCCAACCATTTGTGCCGATGTCCACATGTGGATTTATGTTTCTGACTTTCAGTAAAATATCAGTATTAGTGTTCATATTTCAATTTAGCTTTCTTCATAATAGTGTAACATTTATTTAACTCATAGAGATCTGTCATTAAAATTTTGAAATTATTTTACCTTTAGTTGAAAGGTACAATATAATTACTGAGAGATTGTTTGCAAGGAGTATTTACATAGTATTTACATTTTCAAGCAGAAAATTCTTGCAACAAGTATAACTAACTTCTAAAAGGAACGTACTGATGCTAAATTTAACTAGTCTTCAAAACTAAGGGGCAAATGGTACCTAGAGAGTTGGTTTTTTTTTAATAAGAATGTTTTCATGAAAAAAATAGAATAACATTTAAATTCTTTTTTTTTTTTTCAATGGAGAAACCTAAATATGACATTTAGCCACATAGCAAACATGTGCTTTCTTGAGTACCATTATCTTAAGTAGAAACTGAGACATGTAAAAGGCTTAGCTTATAAGACCAGTTTTTGGGCAAAAAGGTCCATTGTTAGAGGAGAGCACCAGAAGATGAAACGTTGCTTAAAAAGGCTGTCTGAATTAGACTGATGTTACTTAATTGTCTTGATGTAACAAAGCACTGATATTCTAAGTTGTTGTGAGCAAATTTAACAATTTCTTGAAGCTCCCATAAGCTATGGCAATATTAATAAAAAGCCATATTATTTTAAAAATATGATTCATTCTTGTAGAATTCTTAAGATGCTGTTAAAAGAGCTTAGTTCATTTGCTCATACAAAGAAAAGCGCTTGAAGCCGTTTTAGGTGCCTTAGGATAATTTACGTGGCCCCCAGCTGTTGCTCAGAAAGGCACACATCTGTGGTATGTCCAGTGTCATATTTACCATCCTTAATGATATGTCTTCCCAAATGGCATTTCATGCCCGTATATGGACAACTGAATCAAACTCTGCACATAGGATTGAGCTTCAGAACAATTCACCTACTTTAAGAATCTACTTATAGGTGAACAAGGTGCTTTTGCTCCTCCTCCAGTGAATGGAGTCAATGGATCCTGGAGAGTTGTTCACTTCACCTGTGAAGTAGGCATCTGCCTTTGATCAGAGCTGCACCCTAAATGTCACTGAGTGCATCAACGGGGAGTGGGATTCACCTGACTACAAAAAGACATTTTATGCCATTGGAAGTGTTGATGGGGCATGCAAGATGGCCATACTGGGCTGGGAAAAATGACTGAAGATTTGTGAGACACTTCCGTTCTCTGATGGTGACAGCTGAGAGCTGAATGTACTTCACAGGGGATCTGGAAGGGTGCTAGACTTGTTAAATGAATGGGCCCCAGAGCTCCATGGCAGCTTTGACGCATAGTTTCCATGCAGACATTTAAACCTAGGTGTCCTAATCTGGAGTTCAATCCCACCTAAACTACAGCCTATGCATTTCCTTACCTAAGGACAGAATATCCCCTCCCTTTTAGTGTATCCATTTTAATAGGCTGTGGTGTCCTACCTCTAACAACATTTTGCTATAGAGCTATGGCTGTAAATCTCAACCGCCACCTTCTGAAAAGAATCAATGCTATGACAACTACACACTAAAACCAGGCTTATGTACAGCCTTTTTCAGGTATAGCTGTGTCCAGCATGTGTGGGGAGAAAGCAGGGCTATGACAACTGAGTCAGTAAAAACCCCTAGGAAAGCAGTAGTTAAAAGTCTTCAGTTTAGGCAGTACACCTTGCTTTTCTCCTGATAGGTCACTTTTCTTTGCTAGTACAAATATTTTTCTATCAGCAGACTTCTCTAAGCATATATATTAATTGCATGTGTAGTGTCCTTAATGTGTTATTTGAGATTTTATATTCTGCCATTCATAGACAGCTGTTAATGTGCTATTATCCAAGCAGCTGTAATAGCCTGGAAACTGGAATGGCAGACTGGCTTGTGAAAATGATGCCAACTGTTCCATTAATTAAAAAAATATACATTGAGATTTTTGAGGGAAAGATTTCTTAGAGCTGTTGTTCCACCTTGTACGCATGGTGTAATTCCACTGATATCAATGGACCCTTGAGATGATCCACAAGTGCTGGTAAATCAGTACTTAGTTAAAAACCTGCTCCAACTGGTATTACATAGTCTGGAATTTAAATATATGCATATTTGTACATACATGCTTCTGAAGTAGAAATAAGTAGTAAACTGAAAAAGTCACAAATTTCAGTAACTTTTGAATCTTACCCTATGAACAAAGGCACCAAAAAAGGTTTCTGTTTTTTAACGTTAGCCATGCCTGTCTGCAGATATTCGTATGAACAGTTTATTTTGTCAAGGAGTTTTTGAGTGGCAACAGAGGGTTAGCAGAAGGGACTTGAAGCATAGGTTTAACAGTGTATACTTCCAAAAAGAGCCTGTGCTAGCAGGAGAGGCCGGTGTGAAATTAGGTGACCTACCAGCAACATGAAAATGAATTGGAAGGCATGTAAGCATGCAGTCAGTAAATGAAATAGGTTATAATGAAATGTAAATTGGTTATTATACTGTAGCTTTCCAGTTTGGTTCTTGAACAGGCCCTTACATTCTCATATTTAATTTAAGAAGATTTTTCTGGACGGCATCATTTCTAATATAATGATCAGCTGGGGACTTTCTCAGAATATACTTGGATTTAGCAACCCTGCTCCTTAACACAGAAGTGGAAATGTGCTTGTGCTGACTTCAGTGGAAATTACATTCAGAAATGCCATTTCAGATCTAAAACAATGTTCTTGCTCCCATCTCCTCTCCACTTTTATTTAAATCAGTGTTCACCTATTTCAAACACAGTAATGCAGCTTTTAAATTCCCTTTACTATGGAAAACTGTTATGGTTTAACCCCAGTAGGGAGCTCAGCCCCATACAGCTGCTCGCTCCCTCCCTCCCATCAGGATGGGGGAGAGAATCTGAGAGGTAAAAGCAAGAAAACTCATGGGTTGAGACAAAGACAGTTTACTAAGTAAAGCAAAAGCCACGCACCCAAGCAAAGCAAAGCAAGGAACTCATTCACTGCTTCCCATCAGCAGGCAGGTGTTCAGCCATCTCCAGGAAAGCAGGGCTCCATCACGGGTAATGGTTACTTGGGAAGACAAACGCCATCACTCCGAATGTCCTCCCCTTCCTCCTTCTGCCCCCAGCTTTATATCGCTGAGCATGACGTCATGTGGTATGGGATATTCCTTTGGTCAGTTGGCGTCAGCTGTCCCAGCTCTGTCCCCTCCCAGCTTCTTATGCACCCCCAGCCTGCTCGCTGGTGGGGTGGGGTAAGAAGCAGAAAAGGCCTTGGCGCTGTGTAAGCGCTGCTCAGCAATAATGGAAACATCCCTGTATTATCAACACTGTTTAGGTCACAAATCCAAAACATAGCCCCATACTAGCTACTATGAAGAAAATTAACTCTATCCCAGCCAAAACCAGTACAAAAACATATGCTAGTAGAGCTATAATATGCAAGAGATGATCAAATTATAAGTATTTTCCCCATTTACTGCCTAATGCTAAATCGAGATGAAAATATGAGGAAGGGGAATTTTTCTTTAGTGTCTCTGTATCCTTGCTGAGGACAGTGGGACTCCAAGATCCGTAAACAAGTTTATAGAATAGGATTTGTATTTGAGCAGCAAGGGCATGCCACTGTGTTTGCAAAATATATAGATGTGCTGGGAGGAAGTAAGGGACATCATCCAGTGCCTTTTCCCTTCTGAAGGAATATATGTAAAAATTGTGAGGTGGCTATGGGA